TAATTTTCACTCGTCTCCTCCTTTCCCAATCCATCTTCTCCGGCCGATACCCATTACCCAATGTATTACCAATTGGGATACCACCATGTACCACAGAATTTTCACTCGTCTCCTCCTTTCCCAATCCATCTTCTCCGGCCACCCTGTGATACCCATTACCCAATGTATTACCAATTGGGGTACCACCATGTACCACAGAATTTTCACTCGTCTCCTCCTTTCCCAATCCATCTTCTCCGGCCACCCTGTGATACCCATTACCCAATGTATTACTAATTTGGGTACCACCATGTACCACAGAATTTTTACCCGTCTCCTCATTTCTCAATCCATCTTCTCCGGCTACCCCTTCATTGTTGCAGCCACCATCTCCTTATCTCCCTTCTCCCTTTCACCTTCCGTAACACGTCTCCTCCTTTCTCAATCCATCTTCTCCGGCTACCCCTTCATTGTTGCAGCCACCATCTCCTTATCTCCCTTCTCCCTTTCACCTTCCGCAACACACGCACGCACCACTGCACCACCGTACGAACTAACACAAACACAGGGACGAGGAAATATGCAAAGCACACCCGAACCTTCCCCTTCGTACCGCCTCTGTCGTGTCTCGTCTCTGTCGTCTGCCTCGTGAACCACTCCAGCAAGTCCCAGTCAATGCTTTGAAGCCATCAAAGAAACAATCAAAGCAAAACCAGAAAGGGTTGTTGATTTCATAGGGCCAAATCAAAGAAGAGAGATAAAGTTTTCTAATAAAGGAGAAGATGAGATGGTTGTAGCAGGGGAAACCGTCGATGAAAAAGTAGATGGGGTGGTGGGGGTGGCCGAAGAAGAAGTAGACGAAGGAGAAGAGTACCTAAAGCATCTAGGGTTTTATAATTATAACATTACCAATTTACCCTTTATGTTATTTTAGGATATAACATTAATTATTTAAATGATTGGCTCATATTGGTTCTCACAGTTACCACAAACAACTCAGTTCTCATTTGATTGAGCCCCTATATATATATATATATATATATATATATATATATATATATATATGTCTTTGTCAGGAAAGAAATAAAAATAAAACATTTTTTTATAAATTTCCGTCGGAAATATTTTACTTATATATATATATGGTAGGAAAAAAACATTTTTTCTTTACAAATTTCGGACGGAATATAATTTTTTTTAATAAAAAATAAATTTCGTCGAAAATCCGTTGGAAATTTTTAAATAAAAAATATTTTATTTTTATTTTTTCCAAGTTTAAGTTATTATAAACTTTTTTTTATTAAATATTACCAACGGAGTAGTCGTATGTTCAGTTACATTTAATGGATCTATTGGCTTTATTCGGTTCAATTGGACTTTTATAAGTATTATTGGGTTTTATTAGATTTTGGTGGAATTTCATGGATCTTAGTAGATTTTTTCCGGTTCAAATAGGCTTTAATGGAGCTATTGGGTCTTATTCGGTTCAATTTGGCATTAACGGGTACTAATTGGGCCTTATTTGGTTYAA